AAGGAAAAAAAATAATTGTAAAACTTTAAAGATGTCACTGTTGTATCATGTTTAAAAATTCCATAGATTAGCTAATTTTTTACCCTGAATGTATTGAACAAAACATAAGATGTCTCTTTTTCATATTTACTCCAAATTAGAATATAAATTTAAAAATAAAAATTACTAATCCTTTTTGTTTGCTATGCTTTACACTTTTAATAAGGGTCATTTTGTTAATATTTTAGCTCATTAACTTTTAAAGTAACTTATGTTTGATTATCCAGGTATAAATTTGGAATAATTAATCCTATTGTTTATATATAAAATAAATTTACTGACAAATTCTTGATCAAATATATTTATATTGTTATGATATATATAGTTGATAAATTATTTGGGTATTTCATAACATTATTGTATGTGCTTGTACTTTGGAGATCTGATATTTGATTTTGACTGTATAACCACAATAGGATTATAAAGTTATGTTTTCTTACAGACGAGAATCCATGAAACAAACAATCATTGGAGAAACTAATAGCAAAGAAAAAGTTAAGAAAGGTAGGAATTTCAATGTTTATAAAAAAAAAGAGTAACTGTGCATGTACATCAAAAAACTTAATTTCAACTTAAAAATATGCATAATGATATACATACACATTTGTCAATGTTACCTTATTAGACGCCACAAATTTCAAATTCAGAATAATGTAAATTCCTGTAAAGCATCAACTTTGTATTATAAGTGGAGACCGCGCCTTATAACAAAAGACCATTGTTAGATTAAGAACAGGTCATTACAGAGGAATGAAGATTGATGGGGATGGTAGGAAAAGCTATAGGAATTGTGTAAACTGTTTAGATACAGAGCTAACACTTGCTCATATTTTTGACTATCTCACTGCTGTACAAGAAATAAGGATCCTGTTTTCGTCAGCAAACCTCTCAGTGGATGATATTGAACAGATTGCCAAAACAGTCACCTGGGCCCATAGTACTGTCTTTTTTGGTTCTGTCATGGACACAACATCATCATATACATACGAAATACGCTAAAAGGAGTCCTTAGCCTGCTACATTTATAGCTGTGGTAGCAGGGCCGGCTCTAGCAGTTTTGCCGCCCCTCTCTCCGATGCAAAAAATTATTCTTAAAAAAGATCTACACCTATAGAATAATTTTTGCATATAAAAAGGCAGTATAACAATTACATATATTAAGTCTTAAAAAATACAAAATAATTCGAAACGAGTAAAATGTAAAAGAAGGAATCACCCATTTTAGCAGGCCAATTTCTTCGAAAAAGAGTCTACTGATGGTGAGGATCACAAGCGTTTAGTTTAACTTTTAGTAACTACACTCGAGACTAAAATAAAACATCCCATCTACTAAAAACTCTAATTACCCCAGTCCCACTTGGATAGCTGAAACTGGACATGGTATGGGTGAAAGGAATGTCTGTTGTGGCCCCACTCCAGGCTGGGGGGAAAGTTACTAGTAAAAGATGTGTAAACATATCCAGTTTCATGATTTAACATGTACTCCCACCTCCAACCCTTCAAGTTTCAACAGAAAAGAAAACTGGTTTTAAACATACAGAGTACAAAATGAAGAAATAAGATACATTCAATAAAATACCAAATTCATATCCAATAACATTTCAGAAAATATATAAACTATTTGTAACAAAGAAATTTGCAACCAAATGCCACCCTTAAAATTTGCTGCCCTGGGCAGGGGTCCAGTTTTTCCAGCCCTGGCGGTAGCATCCATCCTGGAATTTTTGGCTTTTATGTTCACTTTTGTACAGATTTTTTTTTTCTTTTCTTTTTCCTTGTTTTTCCAATCATATTATATAATTTTATGATTTCATGGCTTAAATTACTGTTTGAGTGAATGCTTTTGATTTTCTCTTTATTTAAAGATATCCTTTATTGAATATATATGTATTGTTGATTTAAGTTATTGATGATTAAGATTTCTACTGATGACATTTAATCATATTTCTTTAACGTTTTTTTACAGCTGGAAAATTTCTTTGTGCTAAAAAGTATCATAAGAAGAAGAAGAAAAAGTTATATAATGCTAATACTGATGGTAAGTGAAATTTAATCATGCTGTAATGAGTGAAATATTAACACTAAAAAAATAGTCTTATTTATTTTTGTAATTTTTTTTACAATATTGCTCAGATGGGCTAGCGGAAAAATCATGGGTAACTATAGTGTCTGTGCAGCATGAGGGCACAATAAATGTATAGTAAGCCAAAAGTGGTAAGGGAAGTGAAGTGAAGTAGGAGTTTCCTGGATCCCTGCCTTAAAATTGGGGTGAATAGTCAAAACATATTGTTGCTCATGCTGCATGCTCCAGCTACAATATACAAGCACATTGAGCATGTTGCTCGAGGCTGCTGCCAAAACGACAAATGTATTCTGGCCCCCTTTTGATGATGAATTTCTTGGGCCTTTATCTGGCACTGTTAATCAGGTGGTATAAGTAACAACAACAAATTTTTTAATTGATTAAAATTTCTTTCTGAATAATTTTTTCAGTTGAAATATATATATAAACAATATTTGCCCAATGTTTAAACTAAGTTTAAGCCCAGTGGTTAGTGCATTGCGCTTCCACACCACAGGTCCGAGGTTCAAACCCCGGGCTGGACAAGGTTGACTCAGCCTTTCATCCCTTCAGCAGGTCGATAAAATGAGTTCCAAGCTTTCTTGGGAACTTAACACTGGGGGTTTTACGTCAGACTGACCAGAACATCTGCTCATGCATCTCAGCTCCCAAGGTCACATACACGGAATTGGGCACAGCAGACCTTATTGGTTATCGCGCCACTTAGTTAAGTTAAGAGTTAAATAAGGTTGTTTTCTCCAATTATCTTAATTGTAACTGTAAGGGACATATAAATCCAATATGAATGAGATCATTCATTAGAATGGTCTTGCATTATTAAAAAAAAAGGAACACTTTTTTGTATACTTTGATCCCCGACAATGAAGAGATTGATGTTGATTTTTATGGAGGAAAAAAAAATTACCCATTTTAGGCTAATTTAGGCAACATTTGTGCATAAGAATTAATATTTGATAATATACAAGTATTATTGATGAATAAATGATATCAATTGAAGAGGAGTTTTGTATAAATTTAAAACACAATTAAATAAGCTAAATTGTAAATTATTGCAATGTGCTGAATGTATTGCTAAAATGTGTTATACATTCAAATGCCTTTATGTAGAGATTTATAAGTTGATTTTATCTAAAATAATGTATAAATGCAGTTTTCAGTAAAGTAGCCAAAAACATCACTAACAAATATTACAATTGTTTCTTTGAATAGTTATAAAAATTAATACTTATAAATATAAAATAATTTATGCAATTTTAATGAGTTTTGTTAAAACTAAGTTAGATGCTTTAGTGTGAATATATTTGAAAATCTTAGAAATGATAATGATTTTCTGATAAATGTTATAGTGCATAATTCACAATATTAACATTTATAGTTTTAAACTATTTTACATATCAATTAAATCAAAAAATTAGATTTTCATTCCAAAATAATTGCAAGCACTTAATAAAGTGAACATAAATGTAATGTTATAACACATTATATTAAACTTTTGCTTCCAATAATTTATGGATTTTTATTTTGTATTGATATGTAAAGTAAGATAATTTTTTAAGAAGTTAAGATCTTTTAGTGAAATTTTTTAGAGCATCTTTAATTGCATTAGATTAGAACATTTATTTAATATTTAAAATAAAAATATTTTATGTTAAAAAATTTATTTGATGAGAGTTTAAAAAACTGTTTAATGACTGATTTTAGTGAAAAATTATCTTTTCGCAATTTGATAAAATTTTATTTAGATTTAGAGGGAGATCAAATTCTTACTTATGAAGAAGTTGCTTTATATTATCCTCGAGCAAACCGGAAGCGTCCAACTGTGCTGATTGGCCCTCCAAATATTGGTCGTCATGAACTCAGACAACGGTTAATGGAAGATACAGAACGCTTTGCTGCTGCTGTTCCTCGTAAGTAAAAGATTACAATAATTTTGCTGTTGAGTAAGCTTCATTACATAAATAATAGTTTTATTATATTACATTAAGAAAGTGTCTATTATAAAATATGAATGCTGCGCAAGAAATGAAAACATTTATTCATGTCTGTTTAAAATCTTATTGGTTTTTCTTTAAATGCCAATCAATGAGCAAAAAGTGTTCCATGTTTTAAAATATATATATATATATATATATTCATCTTGGTAACAAAATGTTTCAGAAAATGGATATGCAAAATATTTAAACAATTTGAAAGCATTTGATCAAAATGAAAATTTATATATATACTTTGTTTGATCTTCATTGTAAATTATATATAAGAATAATTCAAGTTTTCAAAATAGTATACCAAATAATTCATTTTATTTTTTCATTTTTCAAATAATTATTTTGATGCTAAATTGATGATTTTTTTATTGTTCTATTAGATACAAGTAGAACGAAACGAGATAGTGAAACAGATGGAGCTGATTATCACTTCATCTCTCGGTCACAGTTTGAAGCAGACATAGCATCTGGTAAATTTGTGGAACACGGAGAATATGAAAAAAATTATTATGGGACAAGCCTTGATGCCATTCGCACTGTAGTGAATTCAGGAAAGATTTGTGTATTAAACCTTCATCCTCAAGTAAGAATATTTTTAATTTATTGTAGAAGTTAAATAAAATATTTTTTTAATTCCTACTGTTAATTCACTCTCACCCTATATATATATATATATATCTTGTACAAATTTTCAATCGTTAATAAAATACTTTCTTTTTCATCTATTCAAGTTCAAATACATTTTTTAAAATTTGTAGTGGATGGATGGCACTTGATGTTAATACAGTTTTTTTTAAATATTGTTTCATTAATTAAATTAAAAAATGGATAAATAGTAACAAACAAAAAGTAAGAGTCCAATAGCATATATAGAAAGGAAAATCGTTTGTTGTGTCCCAGTAGTGCAATGCAGAGCCCATTGGACTTCTATTCCAAAGGTCGTGGATTCAAATCCCACCTAGGATGACCTAATTTCTGAGAATGGGATTCCTTTTTTATTAGAATAATTAAATTTGATTAATAAATAAATAGTAAAAAAAATAGTCCAACATCCTATATGGAAAGGAAAATGGAAAATTGCAAGGAAAATCACTTTCTATTTTGACACATAATGTGATTATGTCATGTATAAACATATTTATATTAATTTTAAATATTTAATAAAAAGTAACTAAAATAAAATTTTTCTTTGTTGACTTAAGTAGGAATTTATAAGTATTTTAACCTATAAATTTTGTTTTATTACTTGTTTTAAATACGTTTAACTATTTTTTATTAGTACTGCAATTGGTACTTTAATCATTCTGCAATCAACAAATATTGATCATGATTGTTCATTAATTAAATTTATTTCACGAATTATTTATTTTAAAGCATTTCTTTAAATTGAAAGAAAAACTTGATCAAATATGCTTTTCTATTCAGAATAAGAAAAAATGCATTCATTACTTGTGGATAAGGTATAAAGATTTGTTTAATAAAAAATATAATATTCCATCATTAAAAGATAATTCTTTTTAATTCTTGTTTATCCCATTTTATGCTATATGATATGATTAGAAATTTTATCAAATACCGTAAAATCCGGTGTATAATGGGCACTTTTAACATTGAAAATAATATCGAAATATACAGGTGTGCGTTATACGCAGGGTATAAAAATGAGAGCTTTGAAATATAAAAAATTAAGAGAAGAGCATAAAAAAATTACACTTCTACATATTTCTAAATACTGTTTATTTAAAAGAAGTGACATTCTTAATGAACTTAAAAGGTTGTAGTTCTAAAAGTATACTATTCTTGCAAAAGCTTAAGAAAATAACTCGAATAAATTGCTTCAAAACACAACAGCATTGCATAACGCCCATTTCAGTTTTATTCATAGAAAAAGGGGGTGCGCATTATACGGTGAATATACCTAAAAATTAAAAACTGCAGCTTGTGACAGTATGGTCAGATATACGCCAAATTTTACAGTATATGATTAAATATATTTCAAACACAAAAGATATTTGTGATGATTGATTTGTAATGTAATTTGAAAGATATATAAAGCAAAGAAATAAAATAATAATAGCCATGTTCATTATGTGCATATAATGAATTTTTATGTGATCCATGTTTTTCAATAAAATTAAAAAAGGTGGCTCCTCCAGATTCCAACTATTATTTTTTTAAATTATATCTTTTAAAAGAAAATAAACTTGAATTTTAGGTTTTTTAATACAGCAATTAATATGTAAAATAAACTAAAATTGTCTTACTTGTCGAAAAAAATTTAGATTTAACATTATTAATTTTAAAACCTACATTTTTTATTGCAAATCCTTTAAATATCATTGACAAGGTTAAATGCGTAGTATAGAACAAATCTCTTTTGTGAATAATAATAGCATTATCTTTATTGTAGCAAAATACCATGTTATTGTAATTAAGATTTTTTTAATCAATTCATATTCACATGCATCTAAGTATTTAATCTTTAATATTCTAAATAATTATGAGGCTACATTAGCACAATTTGTGAATCAATAGTTTGGCATTCTATGGATTGCTGGTCCAAAGCATCATCTCAAGTATCATTGAATTGTTTAATTGGGGTTAAATTGTTGCTCTAAAAATATTATTTCACAACGAATTTTTAGCTATTAATTGAGCATTCAAAAATTTACAATATTTTTCTCTTTCAGTCATTAAAAATCCTGAAAAATTCGGATTTAAAGCCTTATGTTGTGTTTGTGGCTCCACCATCCCTTGAAAAATTACGCCAAAATCGTCTCAAAGCTGGAGACAATCCAAAGGATGAAGAGCTTAAAGATATCATTGAGAAAGCCAGAGAAATGGAAGATAATTATGGCCATTATTTTGATATGGTGATCATCAATTCAGATATTGATAAAGCATTTAATGAACTTCTCAAAGAAATAAATACTTTAGAAAGGGAACCTCAGTGGGTGCCTCGAATATGGCTCAGCAGTTACACAAATTAAAAGTGGTAATGTAGGGAAGATATGTATATTCTGGCTTGATTTCAAAGCTAAATTACCTATTGTAAATTTAATGAGAAATTTTACAGAAGTGGGGTGTAAATGTTGTAAATTTATTGTTGTGTTTCAAATGAATGTGTCTTTGGTATAAAAGCTCTCTGCACCTTTCAATATTATGGACTATGAGTATAAAAGGAATGAAGTGAATGCAAGATTTTTTTTTCTGGAGTAAGTGTTTGATAAGAAAGATGTGTTTTTGTACATATGTGTAAATTTTTGTGTAAAAACAAGTTCGAACTGTGCACATCAAGTTCCATCATGCAAATGTTAAAGTGATGCTTTTTGCAATATGAACAAAAAAAATGTGTGATAATGATTAAAGCTCATAAAAGAATATGTTTGAAATTTCATTTTTTAAATAAATTGTTAAAATATAAAATGAAAGCTTAACTAGGTATTAAAGGAAATTCAAAGTAACATCTAAAGACTCAGGTATAAAAATGTCATGCTTATGGCTCAGTAAAACTGAAGCTATCGAAAATTATAATAAATGAGTGGGTTATTTAAATTTTGTTAACAGAGTTTCTTATTTATAACATATTTCTAAATAATGTAAATATTATATCTTAGATGATGCAACCTAAAGGATAGGTTTTATAAACTGTGTAAAATTATTACAAAGAAAATCTGCCTTGTAAATTTCAAAAGCTTATATATTTGTGTATGTTACACCAATAAGAAACTCTGTTTACAATCATAGTCATGTTAAACATTGAATGATTATACATGCTGCATATGATAAATGATTGCATTTGAACAATATTTAAAAAAAAAGTTATTTGTTCTTAAAACTTACAATACATAATCAAATTTTAAATCATTCAATAGAATTTTAATTGCTTCATCAAAACATTCAATTTGTAACCTTCATCCAATGATTTAAAAAATGAAATGAAGTTTATTTGTAAATTCATTTTTAATCATTGATGTTTTTATATAAATAAGTAATTGTATATTATATTGTGGGTTAAAAATAGTTGTTATTGCTTATATGGAAGCAAAATAAATGTCTTTTAATTTAAAAATGTGTATGGTTGTGTGAAGATATCTCTATAAAAGTGAATCCGAACATGAAAAAAATAAAAGATTTATTAAAATATCTTATCATAATGGTACTGCAAAAATTTGAGAAATATCACAAGGCATGTAAAATTTATGCTGAAATGTTCTTACAAATTTATACAGTTTTAGCAAAATAAACTATTTTGAGATGTTTCATTTTGTTTTCTTTTTTCAAAAACATTTACATTGTCCTTATGGTGTAAAAAAAAATATAGTTGGGTAAAAAATATATCTGAAGTTTTATATAAAATACTTTAACCCTTACAATACAAAAAAATCTGATCTGTTTTGAATTATGAATAAATACCTCTCTCTATTTTTAAAACATGTCAGGAATGTTTATGTTCATGCAATGTACATAGATGCAATAGCCGTGTATTATCAATATTTATCAAAACAATGAATTCTAAAATATAAGTAAAAATTGAAAATGATAAAAACAATTCCACCTTTTAGAACTTGCTTTTAATGTCTGTTATTTATACATGTATCTTCATTTAGTCTCCGTTTTTGCTCTATAATCAAAAAATCAGTTGTTGAAATAGATTCTATTACACAAAACTTGATTAATAATTAGTGGGGTTTTCTTTCACATATTATGGATAAATATCAGGAAATTTAGCGATTCTGGACAAACTATTTCACCTTAATTCTTTTAGTACCCTTGATATTCAGTTTCAAAATAAATAATTCAGGTACAAAAAATTGTGTTGGAATATGTGCCTAATTGAATAATATACTTAAATAACTTAGTTAAAAATGCCTATTTTTAGCATTTAGATGTCAAAATAAGATAACTATTTCCTGAGGCCATATATAGAACTATATTGTTGTTTGCAAGAAATTCTATTAATATCTAGCATAGATACTAACGTTTGGAGGTGTTTTACCAAGTGATTATATAGATTAGTAAACTACTAGTCTCAAAAGAGTTATTTAAATCTTAATCCCACGATACTGTAGAACATTATACTGGGTGTTTCAAAAGTCACGCACATCAACATGGTAATCTTTGTTGCTTAAAAACCAAAAGGTTTGGTTGAGATTTCTTTCACTAGATGGTAGCAGGAACCCCATCATAAGTTTTGAACGTATCAAGCAGTAGTTTCAAAGTACTTGTCAGTTGAGCACAACAGAAGGTGCATGATGTTTTCCCAATAGCAAATAGCCATAGTGGAATTTTATTTCGCTATAAAATCTCATTGCTGTGTGATAATTGCATTTCAGCAGAAATATCCAGGTGAAATAGCACCAAATGCATCAATGATAACACTTTTAGTGCAACGGTTACATGACACAGGATCTGTTGCAGACAGGAAGCGATCAAATAGAGCGTTCATGTTGAAAACGAAAGTGGCAGATGTGGAGACAGCTTTACAAAGACGTCCATTGAAAAGACCGTCCGTCTACATAAACATCATTACAGAATTCATATCCTTGCTGAAAGTGATGAAAGATACGCTTGGTTGCAGCAAGACGGCGCAACGTGTCACACATCACAGGACAGTCTGGAAGTTTTAACTGAATTTTTCGATGATCATGTTATTTCCAAAGGACTTTGGCCAACCCGTTTACCAGACTTGTCAATTCAGGATTTTTTTCTTTGGGGATATCTGAAAAATGTCACCTTCAGAAATAATCCCATATGTTTGATGAAATTAAGAGTAACATCCTTCATGCAACATCAGACATTAATTCTCACACTCTTCGTAAAGTATCAATTAATCTGGTAAAAAGAGTTTGATTGTGTGTCCTGGAAAACGAACATCATTTTGAACATTTACTGTTATTTTACCATGTCTGACACCTTACAATAAAGATAACCATTCATCCTTTGTTTGTCCTTTATTGTGTTTG